ATCTATTAATTACTTTTATTGATTACTTCAGTTACTGTTTTTTCATAGTAATCTCATTGTGTGTGTATGTGCTTGATACAGCTCAGATTTCTGTAATATTCCATGCAATTTACTTCACTGAAGTACTTACTAGTTAGCGTATTTGCTATTCAAAACTCTGTTTGTAGTTTTGATTGTTGTTATTTTTGTATGAGAGTTTTATACAATCGGTTACATCTTAGCTAATAATGCACTATACTCTTTCTTTTTGTTGTTGTCGTAATCAAATAAACACAAAATACCACTATCTCTGTTGAATTGGATCAGTGTATGTGTGTGTTAATTTTTCACTGTAATTTTATTTATTTATTTATTATTCTCACGAAAATAGTTCTTTCCTTCCACTGGTAATACTACTTAATCACATGATCATGTCCGTTTATGATGTATCTGTGATACCATTTTGATTGTACACATAATATATATATATATATATATATATATATATATATATATATATATACTACTTTTCCAACCACAGTTATATCCGAAATAATATAATCACATGATTGCCTGTTTTCTAAAGTACTTTATTGAAAAAATCATTGTATCTCATGGTGATAATAAGTTAGACTTTACTCACTGCATGCAAACCGGCTTTTTAGTACGGATTCTTAGATCTCACGGTGTTATTACGCTTGTGAATGTGTTTTTGTTATTTCAGATTTTCATAGATTTTTTGTAGTTGGGATTTTGGATCAATTTCAGTGTAGAATTCGTGACAAACTAATGTGATTTAAAAAATTATTAGCAACCTGAGAACACTGGACAGTTGTTTCGTCCTACTTTAGGATTCTTCATCAGTGTAGCATATCGTGAATTGACAGAAGTTAGGATTAGGTTGGAAAAGAGTCAAAATCTGGCATCAGTCTACAAAGTACTTCACAATTGTTGCTGTGTACCAAACTCGTTCTTATTGTGATCTTCCATATCCACTTAAGCCTTCATGTTTTTCCATATTATGCTTTCTCAAGCACGTATTTGCTCATTATAGTTCTTTTGTATCGTTTAGAGTGTAAACTTGTCCTACCGGAAAAATTTATGTGACATCCATAAGATGCCATATCAGACTACTAGTAATGCTACCTTTTCATTATTACGACAATGGGATGGGGGAATCAATTTGAAAGGATTAGGCTTCAAAAGATTTTTGTCTGCTCTCTACATTTATCTTACACTGTTATCCATAACCGGTGATAATGCTCTGCGTACGATCGGGGCCTCAGAAATCGGGATTTCAGTACTTGATTATCATCATTTGTTGACTGTACAGTGAAATTTTAGTCACTATTTATGGTTACTGATAGTTTTCCTGTTAAACCCTACTAGTTTTGAAAGATACTCCAATTTCACTAGGCTAATATGTGGTGTTTTACTTGTTTGAACTCCGATCGAGGAACAGATACTTCATATTGCAGACTATGAGCCATAGCTATTATGTGAGGGCTAATCAAGCTACCAAGTTGCTTAGGCTAAAGCAGATGGAGAGGGACTCGAACCTGTAGCCCATTGGTTAAAAGCTGTGCTTGAGCCAGTGAGCCGCATCTCTAGGTAATATGTCATGTGATTGATGATAGTTTATTCCTCGATTAGCAGAAGTAATGATATGGTTTAATAATTCACACAATTAACACTTAACTTTTAAGGTAGAGAAAAAGAGACAGTAACTGGGGGATTTGCATAATTGTCATTTAATAATGCTTCATTCGGATTGTTAATGACCAATAGTAGAATTCAGGAAGCGCGTTTTCCTCTTGTTTTGGTATTGTATTTCTGCAGAAACTCAATCTCAGCACACATCGTTTCAAATATCACCAGTTCGTATCTTAAACAAATGAACTACACTTACTGTACCGACTAGGTTGAACTCCGTCGAAAATTGTCTAAAGAAAACTAATCACTTTCCTGTGTTCGTTTCCAGGGATTTGGTTGATTTAAATACCGATATGAACTGACTTCAGTTAGTGAACCATTGAAAACCATCAGTGAGTTTCGTTTTTTTTGGAAGCACCCACGAACCTTCAGGTTATCAATGCGAGCTCGTAAACCATTTAGCTACTGAAAGGGAATCCGATCAGTTATGCCCACTCCTTTTTCTTAGCATTATAGACTAGAGAAATATTAGAACTTGTACAACTGTTAAATATGTATCATAAGATAGATAGACGTTTCCATGGTATTCATTATGAATCATTCAATGCACTTGTATTTTGAATAATCAGTGATTTATGATAAGTGAAAAGAGTTATACGGCAAGATAAAAGTAATTACAGAAGGTAACTATCAAAGTGCTTTATAATTTCCGTTAATTGGATTAATTGAATTCGCGAAAGGCTAGTTGTCCTTGACCACGGATGTTTACGTCCTATCTCCACTGTTAAGTGGCCTAACATGGTGATTAACATTGATGTCAGGTGTATAGTGTTAGGTAGAGAAGGGAGATCATTCGATTAGGTTGTGGAGATACATCGATTCTCGTCGAGGAATTCTAGCTGACAGGATTAGATTGGAGAAGAGTTAGGGTGGTCAAACCAAAATCTAGCGTTATTCCATGAAATATTTGCCTGTTGATTTGAGCCACCTAGGAAGTTAAAGATTACCTAGTTAAAGTACTGAGGAGACTATTGGTGGTTTTACTCGGAATCTGTCTCAGTGTCAGATGCATTCACTACCAGGTACATTAAATCCTCATGTGTCTGCATGTTCTTATGCTTTCTCCAATACATTTCTGCTAATTATTGCTCTTTTGGATTTTTCTCTTTTCTCTACCTTTGTGTGCTGTATGGAGTGTGATGACTTCAAGTGGTACAACTTCTATACAAAGTTCTACGTTAAAACTCAGTCAGGAAGCATTTGTCCTTATTCAATTAGCTTTTCATAATATTACTGATTCACCCGACGTACTAGTTGTATAACTTCAGTATTTCAAACTATCTACACAGATATATGCTATCAGGCGAATTTTGCGTACTCCAAGTTGGTTATGTAGAAAATTGTTGATTTGTGCGTTTAGTGTCTGTTAGGCGGCCGAAATCGACTGTTGGAGATGATATCTCTTATGGTTTAGAATCATTGATAGTGGTATAAATGCACTCATATTCTATCTTCATTACGGAATTTTTTTGCAATCTGCTCTGTCCTAATTTCCATCTTTTCTAAAGTGTTTCTATTACTTTCGATACCACTTATTGTCATTCCTTCGGGTACCTACATATTATGTCTTACTTGATTTGTGGAAAACATGACAGGAGTTCATTAAACCTTTTAAATGGTTGATTTGAACTAACTAAGGAGGTGTAAACTGTCTGGCTGGGGTTCCTGGAATGCTAACAGTCATGTATCAAAATTCTTGGCAATAGCGTAGATGTATTCATTCACTGCCGTTATCGATGCGCCAAAGTTCCTTGCTTGTTTTCATTTAATTATTCTCTCTCCCGTACGTCATCATACAATGTCAGTTTCACTGCATTTCTTTTCCCCACTATTTTTCTCAACGGCTAAAATAGTCACTTCATGATTAATATATTGTAGATTATCAGTTAATTGAAATTGAATATTACCCAACAAGCAGTTCCAATTCCATGCAGCTACACATATTGTGTGAGGGCTAGTGGTACTACCTGGTTGTCCAAACATCAGTAAGTGGAGGGGGTTTGAACCAGTGACCACCTACTGTTTGGAAGTCGAGCACCTAGACCAATGAGCCACAGCTCCACTCAATTATTCAGAACTCAGTTGCCTGGCACAAATTCCCCATGTACCACGCTATGAGCTACGCTTTTTACATGAAATCTGATAATGCTATCAAAGTTAAGCTGGATTTAAATCCAAGGAGTAATTGTCCAGAGACGTCATTAGAACTCAAGAAAGATTGTTGAATCTCTCTCCCGTCTCAGGGCTGCAAGATAGTTGTTTTTAGAGTTATGGGGTACAGACTTGTGGAGTATTTCGAGTGGGGAGACAAAGACATGTTAACTGTGAAGGTAATCAGTGCAATATGCGGTGATGTAAGACAGGAAAACACATAGTTCTAATAAATTCCTTTATCCAATTTTCATTCTCTTATGAGCTTAAATCCGTTTTTATCTACTTTAGTCTGAGTAGCTAATTAGTAGCATTAATATTTGATGTAGCTAGAAGTATGACTCGTGAAGTAGTGTAGCACATCACCATTTCGCACCATCTTCTGCAGCCCTTTCGAGCTGGCTGCACAATTACCCATACGCCTTCATTTCCTTGTACGGTCGGTCTCCTGCATAGCATAATCGAACCCACGCCCAACTCGTCGTTCCCTTTTTAGGTTCCACTCGAGAACTTGGCTCATGATGTCACTTGAATGTCTCTTCAGAGTATTTCCAATCCATCTCTATTTCCTACAAGTAATTGGGCAGTAGGTTCTTCGTTGTAACCCTCCCAACTTTTAGTTAAATCTTGTCTTGCCATCTGGGTGACTGGAATAGATTGTTGAACCTCCAGTTAACAATTTTGAGAGTTCACTTCCATTTCACCTGTTGTCACCGAAGGTGAGCGCTTATATATCATATTCTCTCATTTCTTTGCGATTTGAGCATCCTTGCTAGCCAGTCTCAAACAGTGTGCAGGCGACAAGTGTCCCTAAGCTTAGTTTTGCTTTCATAGAAAAAAAGTTACGAGTCGGCTGCCTTGCGGAAGGCTTTCACCAGCCGGCATCATTTCGTCTCTCTGATCTCAGCTGCGAATAAATTTGTTTTCATATTTTTTTTCTGTGCTTTAAAGTTTCCGTAGAGATTGGATTAATTTTTTGGGATAGGGTAGCTAACTCCATGTCCAACCTTCGTAGTCTTTCGGGGCTTAAGGCAGGCTATTGAACTTGGAATGGTTATACGAATATATATATATATATATATATATATATATATATATATATAAAATTAAATAATATCAAATGTATTACGCCTCATTTACTGTTATATTTTTTTCAGGGTCGAAATTTAGCAGATTTACGACGTAGTATGTCACGTGGTCTGTTCTCTACCTCTACAACAATACGTTTAAGTTTACAAATTTTAAACGCTATTGAAGCTATTCACGAGGCTGGATTTCTACATCGTGATATTAAACCATCGAATTTTGCTGTGGGTAGACTGCCGACAAATTGTCGTACAATATATATGCTAGATTTTGGATTAGCACGTCAGTATACAACGCCTAAAGGTGATGTACGACCTGCACGTCCAGTGGCTGGATTCCGTGGGACAGTACGCTATGCATCACGTAATGCTCATATGAATCGTGAGATGGGTCGACATGATGACTTATGGTCAATGTTTTATATGCTTGTTGAATTTGCATCAGGTCAATTACCATGGCGTAGAATTAAAGATAAAGAGCAGGTCAGCCAACCGTTATATTTTCTCTCTTTCTCGCAGGAATTAAATAATATTTTGTATTTTTATGTTGAGTTATTTTTTGCATACTACTTGACCAATCTTTATCACATGGAGAAATAAATCGATATTCATTCACATGTGTGTGTGTGTGTGTGAGTGTATAATCGTTTGTACGTCAAACAGAAGCCACTGTTCATTTATTAGTAGTAGTCATGTGTGTAATCACTAAAAGTTGGTTTCAGTAATCTATTTCTTTTGATCTGCTGGTTTGTTTATTTAACTTTGTATATACCGGCTTGAATCCCTCTCCATCTACTTCAGCCTTGGCAACTGGATAGTATCGTTAGCCTTCACACAGTGGGCGTGGTTACCTTATAGCCTCGAACATCGAAAACACCTACTCCGGGAACTGATATCAAACAACAGTTGAGGGAGTAAAACACAGTTTACATGTGTTGCATTGGGCCTGTAGTATTGTATTAGCTGTAGAATAGAGGAGATTATATAAAGAGAAGGGGATGAAAGCTAGTGGTCAGTTGTGTAGTGTCAGCCTAGAAGATTGCAAAGAGCAGAGTGAAGTGTGCCGCTAAAGTTCTGTGTTCCGCTCGAAACCCAAGAGGGTGATACTAATTGGACGTTAAGTCATAATGTGTTGCGTGGGATTGGAAATCTATCCTACCTACTGTTCCCTGTTTGACTGGTTATTCTGTCTTAAGTCTACACACAGAATATGCTTCATTCATTAATTACTACATAAGAATATCTGTATAAGTTCGACTAAGGTGTATTATTTATTATTACATATTGATCTGTACATCCACTGGTGTACATTGCGTGTGTGTGTGCGTCAATTACCTACACTTAACTTACACATTATTCTAGGGTATAATAGCCTAAATAACAATATATCCTTTTTCTGTTACATGTATAATTAATGTATCGACATATGATCAGCATTGTTCAGCTGATGCATTTCAGTGTAAATTGAACGCCTGTAGGGAAGTTGTTTGAACAATATCACTACAAATGGAAAACATTACTAACTACTGTATCAAATAGTCTGATTTGCATGCATCATTCGAGAAACTAACCAGTGGTACTGTTTCTGTTAAACAACTCTTTTAGATTTTGGATTAAGTGTCCAGTAAAGTAGACCTGTGGCTCATTGGTTTTAGGTGTTCGCCTCCCAACCAATAGGGTCACGGGTTCGAACTCTACAGCCAGGCAGTATCTCTAGTCATCACATAATAGGTGTGGCTTATTGCCAACTGCATGGCATGAAATTCCAAGTGGTTGTTAAGTAACATTTCATTTATTTTTCATGCTATTCCATAAAGTCAGTAGCATAGACTATTTTCTGTTTGTTTTAAAAAATCATATATCATTATTTTTCTTAGAATTTTTAGTTATTTTTTCTTCCATCACACATCACTTTAGGTTGGTCAGATTAAAAACAATTTCAATCATGTCACATTAACACGTTGTCTTCCAAGTGAATATCGTACATTCCTCGAACATATTGAAGCATGTACATATCCAGATCGACCAGATTATGCCATGCTACGTGGTCTTATAAAACAAGCTATGACTCGTCGAGATGTTCATGAATCTGATCCGTTTGATTGGGAACAACCATTAACCATAGAAGAAGGTGGTCAACAGCCTAATTCAACTGCTGCACCATCAACTCCTGGACCTGGACTAAACGATCAACAAGGTAGTCGTCATATGGGTGTAGGATACACAGGCTCTGCGACAGCTGGCAATGCTCAACATACAGGTTTTGCTGATAGAAAAACTCATGCAACACAACAACTTATCTCAAGTCATCGTCAACATCATCGTAATGGCACTCTAGGTCAGATTCAACGTGGTGTAGACACTGTAGGCTTGGGTACCGGTGTTAGTGTTGTTGGAGGTAATTTAGCGAGTAGTATGAATGAGTCTTTACAAGATGGTATTCCTCCAGTTGTCAATGGAAAAACTATGTCAACTGATTTCATCGCTGGTGGAGAAAGCCTAGGTCATAATGATAAACGTCATTCTCCACTCCCACCTGCAACTACACCTGGAGCGGTTGGTGAATTTCGTAATCATGACGCTGGTAAACTGGTTACAGCTGCCACTGTTGAAGATTGTATAGACTGTGCTAATAAGGGGACACAGGATACTGATGGTGCTACACGTTTAACTCATAAGGTACCTGGTTATTCGTCAACTGGTCATAATATTGACGAATTAAAGCGCAGTAGTAGACGTGTAAATTCTACAACAGGTTCATCTGTTGCCGGTGTAAATCATCGTCCTTCATCAAAACGTTATAATGGATCATCTGTTGCAGTCAATAATAATAAGAGTGTAACCGAAGCTGGTATGTCTCATCACCATCCTCATCATAATTCTGTATCAAAAGTCAATGGTGAGAATTTACACGATTCTGTACAACATTACACTGGGAATCAACGCAAAAATGATAATTCTACTGAGCATAGACCATCGCGTCTGCCTATTCTAACGCCTATTAGACAAAGTCATCGTGATCAACATTCTAGTGGTGGTGTGATTTTAGACACACAGAATAGTGCTTCCGTTGTTGCACCAACACAGCAAATTTCTTCAAATACACGTTCTTATGCAGCTTCACCTAGAGGTGGAGGAGGTCATAGTTCAATCGGAGGTGGCAATGATATAAGCATTCTAACTGGGAATTGTGGTTGTCCTGTAGATCAAAGTCAAGCAAGTATAGCTCAAATGACTAATGCTATAGCAATTAGTACAATTGGTGGACGTTTTACATCTGGTTCAGTGTCTCGTTTAAATCGTCTGAATAGTTATGCAGCCGGTTCAATGACTCAGTTAGCTGGTTTAGGTTTGTCTAGTCAAGATTTAGTTGATATTGACGGAGATGTCAACACTGGGGGTTGTGGTGGTGAAGGAGGTTTAGGTGAAACAGGGAATGTTGAACAACATTTACCATTGGATTCATCGAATATTGAATCACCGAATGAATTGTTGATGGATAAGAAATCGGTTGAAAATAATGAAGTCAAATGTTCTACAAGTCCATCTGCTGCCGGTGCTCTTACTGCTGCCGCAAATACTAATCCTATCGTCTCTAGTCAGCATCAGGATAGTAATTCAGATATTGGTGATTCAGAAGTCAAACCTCTCCAGAATGTTTCATCGAATCATGTCACCGTTACAACAACTACAACTACGACAAATTCACATATTAATAATAAATCTTTAACGAACAATGCAGATGTAATCATTGTCAGTAATTCTTTGAATACCAATGGTGGGAAGGCTGTAATGAATAATGGGAAATCCTTATCAACAAGTAACCTGAGAAAGTCAAATCTAAAATCATCAAAGTTACCCGGTCGTCTTACTATGACGCCATCAATATCATCTGGACGTCGTACAAAATTGACAAAATCTAGTCTAGATGAACCGTTTTATCAACGACCAGCTACTGAAGGATTGAGACGATTCTCTGTAGACAATATGACGATGATGATGACGAGTAGTCACAATGATGAAAAGCACTCTTCAAAAGTAGTGGATTTCGATGACGATGGTGATGATAGTCCAAGCTTACTTCCACGATCTCTAGTCAATGGTGGATGTAAACCAGTCCCTATACCACGTCAACGACCACATTTAACAACATCATCATGGCAACAACAGCATACACGTAGTCCAAGTGTTAATGGTGCATATGCAGACAATAAAATCAATTCATCCGATACTAATTCCTTACGTCAATCACAAAATATATGTGATGACAATATAAATGGTAATCATGAAAGTAAACTTCTATCGTCAAATCAACAAAAAACTCTACTGTCTAATCGTTTATCAAATTCTACTTCTGTGACAAGTACAAATCGACTTAACAGTGGTGTAAATAATACGGGTGCTTCTGGTGTTGGTAGTGGTGGTAGCGGTCAACAGAATCTTGCAAATCATCAAATCAATGGTCATCGTTTATATAATACTAATCGTAGTCGTAATACATGGAGTAATAGTAATAGCCATATTCGAAGTAATGGAAATGGTAATTGTAATAGTAGTAGTAGTAGTGCGGTTGGAAGTAATAATGGTAGCACTAAATCACGCAATATAAATAATATTGGACAATCGATAATGAATGGCAGTGTTGGCGGAGGTTACAATCGATCCCGTAGTTATTGGATTAATCGTGGTCTAACTGAACTTCAAGAGAACAATAACAGTATTAATCATAATCTGTCGTATGATGATTGTGTCTTTGAACCACGTCCATCTAGTGATTTAAATGGGAATATGATAAGTAATCGTCGATTTCGGCGTACATTTATTCATACTCTATTACCTAATTCATCATGTACACAACCACCACCACCCCAACTTCAGCAGTCAACCCGATCAGCACAGGCACCGGTATCACAACCATCACCATGTGATAATGATGAATCATCTAGTGATATTGATTCGGATGAAAAACAGCCAATAATTCTGAATGGTAATCATGTATGCCATGCCACGAGTAATAATAATTATTCAAAGGAGTCATTATTGTCACGTCATTTACCGATTCATGGTAGTAGTGGAATCGAGAACTATCCGTGTATTTCTATTAGTAATGATAAAAAGAAAAATAAGAAATGTAAGGAGATTATTATTCATCCTAGATTGGAACAGAAACAAACCAATAGAATTCATAAACCTACTGATGAATTATCCTCTATCGATGATCATTATGATGCCGATCATGACGAAGTGTCCAGTTCTAATTCATCTACTACATCCTATAATATTATACAATCCAATAATGGTGGTAATGGTGTGTCAAATAATAATAGTAATAATAAAAATGTTTCTAAAGATTCACCTGGTACATTCAATAATAACAATACTAGTTCTTCTTCGCCATTAATTGTATTTGTTCCACGACCATCAACAAATCCAGCACTGTGCACAAATAGTGCAGCAATGGCACGTCGAAGACGTTATCGAACACCATCAGAAGTTCCAAGTAGTATACATTCTAGACTATCGATGCTACGAACAGATTCGCGATTGGACGAAAATTATAATAGTAATAATAGTTATGAAAAGTTACCAATTGATTTTCTTCAGAAATTAAAATTTACCTCAAATGATGACTTTTTACCAAAAACGCTGCAGTCTTCAGATTTATCGGACAGAAATCGACTGCCATGGTCAAATCATCAGCAACACCACCACCAACAAAGACAACAGTTAACTAATCCAACTACACCTTGAATGATACATGATATTCTCATCCAAAGTTGTAAGGATGTCTTGCGGACCATCCATCTGTGTGTGTGTGTGACCGTTATTTGTGCTGTGTCTGTGAGTGTGATTCAGATTTCCAGCATTTATATAGTGTTTTGTATTATTGTTTTATTTCAGTTGAAAACAAACGTGTATACATGGGGCGGAGGTTGACTCGTGAATTTAAAATTGTACATACACATATTAATCCCCATATGCATGTTTGATGCCAAACAATTATACATATATGCCTATTATTGTGCCAAATTCACCTTGTTTCATTTATAGATAACACCTGTTACACACACACAGAGAGGCAGAAGCTATGCTCCATCATCCTCTTCCATATGGTGTGTGTATTTCACGTATGTCTTCCTCCTTTTTCTTCTTTGTTCTTGAAAATTGAAACGATCTTTTTTCTAAGATCTGCTAAAACATGTAAACACACACACAAACGAAGTGCTAGTTGACTACCTTGATTTTTCCCCGCCACCTCGCCGCCTACTCTTGTTCTACTCTCACAACAAAAGAGTATCTATTCTTTTTGTCTACCAGGACAATCCTTATATATATATATATATATATATATATATATATATATATTATATGCCAAGAGTCTTTCTTATTTTCACACAATGGATTTTTAATTTAATACAACAACTAGGCTAAAAGGGAAAAAAGATGCATAAATGAATTCTGTAGTGTCTTTTTGATCTAGCCTTCTTTTTGTGTTGTTTTCTATATGACTTTATTTGTATATCATGTCAGTCACCTTTTCTTTTTCTCCTTGTGTGTGTATCGGTGTGTTATATATATGATCTGTTAAATAGGTGTACATTGTTACGTGAATTCCTCAAGCTGCTGTGTCCCTCTCTGTATTGACAACTGACCTACTCTTAATTATTATTATCATAATTATTCTCTCTCTTCATGTACAAAGTTAATCCCCTGGTATTTTGTTAACTTCTTGATAATTTGAAATGCCAACACTATCACACACACACCTGGAAGACACTAACCCCAATTGACGATGCTGACCTCTGAACCATCTAGTATGCATATTTATCCATGTTGTATATTAACACAGATAACTTGTTTTTGTGTTTAGTACAAAGTTTCCTGACTAATTCGCTTATTGAATAAGAACAAGCATATGTGAATCAGACAATAAATAGTAATAATAATAATACTGCAACAACAATATTTCTTTTCTTGCGCACACTACACTAGACAACAACCCTTTTGAAATAGTGCATTACATATTTTTCTATTGTTATTACTACTAGATATTTGTGCGTATGTGAGTTTGTGTCAATAGGCATTCACAACGTTCTTTCTTTAACTTCTTCCTCTTCCGACTTTAGATATTATATATATATATATATATATATATATACTTATAGATGATAGCATTTTAATTTCTTATATTATAAAAACAAATATATATATTCATAAATATATTTGTGTCTAGAAATAAATTTTTCTTTTCAAAACTTTCTGTTTTTGTTTTCTCATTTATTTCCCCATTTCATTTACGCACCATCATCATTATTAGTATGATGAGTGTGTATGTGTATGCCCTGTAGGTGTGACTACTTTCGATTATTCTTATTATTTTTATGTGATGAACTGCTTTCCTTTTTAAGACTTGTTATTCGTCATTGGGCTGTATACACCATTTCGATTTTCTACTTGTCTACAAAATTAAAGTGTATTCATCAAATTTCCAAAAAGCAAAATAGAGCATAGAACATATTCTATCTTGTGATTGATTATGATTATTATTACTACTGGACCACTACTCTGTGTGACTACTACTCGTTGATATTTGATTTGTTCACTGAATAAATAGAGTTGCTTCTTCCTTTCCCTCCTTACATCCAAATTTTCTCTGTGTGGTCGTGGTATGCGTCTGTACATCTCAATTTCTTAAATACTAATCACAATGATATAAGAAATACCCCCACCCTCTTTTTCAGTTTTTCACTGTTTACAGTCAGGGATTTAAGTATTTTGATGAATGTGAATTGTAGTCATAGAGATACTTACTACTTGGACAGGCTTTGATTTTTTTTAAAAAGAATTTTGTTTTTTCTTTAGATTTTTCAGTCATCCATGCATTGATTGACTCACTCATCACTCAAATGGTTGTTCTCCTTTCACACACATACACAAAAGCGCGCACCTGTTCCCCTATGATTGCTTAATTTCATTATATCCATATACTGCCACTTCTTCAAGTCAGCCAGATATATATATATAAATCTTGAGTATAGCACGATACTGATTGTTCTTTATTAATACTAACCATTATTATTTTTTTATTTTCTCCAAAAAATTACAATTTTTATTTATTTATTTAGAATTCATTCACAATATAGTCTTGTACCACTGTTTTGCGTGAAGAATTCGTTTTTTCCTGACGGTCAGATATAATATTATATAGTACTCTTATAAATATAACTACAAAACCTGCTATGAATGCATGGCTCCATATATTATTATTATTATTATAATTATTTTAAATCGATCCACTTTTCTTTCTTCTGTAATCTCTCTGTGTGTATATCCGTATCCGTGTGTACATAGGATTAGTTTGTGTGTGTGTATGTGTGTGTGCATACAACCTGTGAGTGATGAAAATGAAATCATTCGTACCCTTTCACAATACAAATGGGTCAATAAACTTTTTCTTTGATTATTACACTGATTGTTTTGTTTTTGTTTTATGGTTGTTGATTGTTCAATAAGAATTAATTTCACTACTTATCAGTAATTCATTGACTGAAGAGTGAAGTTGTCTGAAGTTCTATTGGAGCCTTTATCAGGGGTCTCTGGCGTGAGGACAATAACTCTCACCGAGATCACACCGACCGATGGGTGGCAGCACTATAAATCTTGAATTGAGGGAAGTTAGGGCTGATGAACAAGCCATTGGATTCCATCTCACTGACCAAGTAGTCAACTGGTTCACTTTATAATCTGAAGGTCCTTGGATGCGTACCACTGAAGAGTCATAAACTAGGGTGAAGCATCTTTCCAGCACTCCTTTGTGATTTTCAGTGGTTGTCTAAGTAACAATAATCCGTGATCTAACTAAATCTTGAATATAATTAGATGCTTACCCAGTGACTGACTACAGGACAGAGTTGCCCGGATTTCCAGTGAGAGGTTGGGTGTAAGGACAAATACGTGTTGGTAACATAGACTGGCCGTTGCGCTGTGAATCTTAGGCTATTGCATTCCACCCCAGTGGCTCGTCTCTTAATGTGAGAGTTGTGTGTGCGGTCCTCGGTTGGGTGTTTGATGGGTGTGCGTTTAGTGTTCTTCAGAATAAATCGTGTTTTAATGATCCTCATATTTTATAAAAAGAGAATCTATGCTTTCCAGATGCTGAATATTCACAGTGTGGGGGGCAACTACTATCATCATTCAGAGTATAGATGGAACGTACAATCAGTTGAGATGAAGTGACAAGTTTGGGAAATGGTCCACTGAAATCGACTATCGATAGCTTTTTTTTCTATTCCTTGATGACACTTTATCATTTGTGATAACAAATGTAATCTAAATAATGTCCTTCAGGTTTTTTATAGCTGCCATCCAGTTATCAAATCTACAGTTGAAGTAGAAACTGGTCAGGCAATATCTCTTCTGGACGTTCGACTAACAGAGAAGACCAACGGGACTTTGAACAAATGACTAATAGAAAGCCTAAGTGGAACCGCTAGTCGATAGACTTCTGCAGTTGAGTACCCATCACTCGAAAGCGGAACTTGTTAATATTTCTTGCGATTAGAGCCCTAAGAATCTGCAGCCCTGAATCAGTAGAAGAAAAAATGACCTTGGTGAAGACCATTTGAAAGTGGCTCCCTCTACCTCGTCACGCTTCATAGATAAACACATAAAGCCCAATATCAAAAAAGAACACCCTATCTCTGTTCAGAAAATGTTAAAAATGAATGGTGCTTTCAAAGACGACCATCTGATCGATATCCTAAAGAAGAGCATATCTAACTCTCCAAAAAGAATATTCTTAGCTGTTACCTTACAACTGGTATTCTCATGTTGCCCACTGTTCTTCAACCGTTCTAAAGATAAACTACCTCTTTTGATCACTTCAATGTGTATTTAACATTTTGCTTGCTCATGTAAAGCGAGATATATGGGTCGTTCGATGCGTGTTTCATCTAAAAGAGTCAAAGAATATTATCCCGCTTGGCTACGAAAAAGTGACAGTGAACCAATAAAGAGAGTTATGAATGAACATATATTCGACATTGGTCACTTAATGTGTAAGGGGAATTCATTCAAAGTTATCTACAAGGTCAGAAGAAGTAACCCGAAAACGGTAAACTCCAGTATACTATGCATTACGGAGACTTTAGCGATCCGGATGGAAAACCTTGATTTATGTACACACAAGAAGCTTCTCCTTCCCCTCCTTTTACCTTGAGTATAATTCCAATTTCCACTCTTTTGTTATACATACTACTTAATAATTTTTTGTTTGATCTTTTTAGTATCATCTTTTTCTTAACTCACCCTCTATTTACTTTTTTTTTAATCACTAGATAATTTATTTTGGAAACTTGTCTCGATGTTATTTCAATAATATCCTATTTTTCTGCATAACCCTAGTATAGACTTAATAATCTTAACCTCCTCCCCACTGCTGAGTTTGATTTGAAGAAAGAGATTTTGGGATTCGTTTTTTATTTCAAGAGTAAATTTTACTGCCGCATGGTAGTTGTTAAATAATTGTAGCAATTAAGTGGGGTCGTATTTACTGGGCAAATTATGAAGATGTCATCTACGCATCTTTTATACATTTGTAAATAGTCAATGTTCGACCTTAATGAATTGTTCTCGAGGCTAGGCATGAAACGGCTATTCACCACATTTTATGAGACAATCTAATGAAGTAAACAATAGCCCTAGCCAGTTTTTATTATTCTTTTCTGACAAACCTAATGGACATATGAATACAAAAAATAATTACATATAATTACAATTATACAACTAGATGAATGAATTCACCGAAAAGAGATTCTTCGCTGAACTGTTTTTTCTTAGATTCATGAGCTGACAATCACAAATACTGACTTGGCTTCAATGACGAAATGCTTGTCAACCACATAAAAGGTTTAGGTTTGATTCCTGACCGATAGAAGCAATCGTACACCGGACGTCATTTACTAGCCGGTGATAAACCCGTAAAAGAGGGAAGGTTTGATGGGCATAAGGCTAGCTACCACACCTTGTAGAAATAACGCACCAACATTTGAAGCCTAATATCTCATTCCGAGAAGAAAGATATAAAAGAAAGTGAACTTGGCTTTATAAGGGGACAAATTGAAGGATTATAACGAAGGTGGTCATTGCATGCTTTCTGTTTTATAAATCAGACCAGATATTAACAACTGTTTTGATTTTGTTGCCAGTAGTATACTTGTATGATTTTTGTTCACCGTATGAAGTGATACACTTGAAGCATGCTGAAAATTTGCGGATAATTTCAAAGTGACAATGAAGACAGACTTGTAAGTTTTTCGGTCCTGCAACTTCCATTTTGTCAGTGTGCATC